TGTTGGCAAAATAACTCTTTCAATGGGAAGTTTACCATCTTTCAGATCAAAGAAAAGAGAAAAATTGTATTTCAGTTTGGAAAGAAATCATCAAATCTGTGTATATGATGGGATATGTTATGCTAGGGAATGTGATTTTAAAGAGAAGTAGTAGTGTGTTTCAGAAATGCACACCTCAAAAAAAATGCATACTTTTGGCCTAATTAACCACACATTCCTGTCAAATGTGAAATGAAAAAAAAAAAAGAAAAAGAGAGAGTTCTCCTTATATGGCCATCTTTGTGGTATTCCCTCCTTGCGTTGATTTTATACAGCTGTGCACATTTTAAATTTATGATATATTTAACTGACCTTATAGTTTTGAAAAGCTTCATGTTAAATTCTCATCCTGTATTTATAATTCCCAGGGATAAATTGATGATTAAAGATTGAATTTTCTCTGTGTATATTACTGATTGAGATCAGGAAATAATTGTATTTGATGCACTGGTTAGAAGATGTTAGAAAACATTAGAAGAAAATATATGAAATGAAGTATTTATGGATTTTCATACAAAGAGTAATTTAGAAGTCGAACAAGTACATTTTAAAATTAAACAAACATGCCTCTTTGTAGAAATAAAATTAATGCTTGTTATTATGTAACTGGTCCTGTTATTGGAAAGATATGCACACTTACATGATGTTACACTTACATGATATGCTGTCTTACATTTAGAAAAGAAAATTGTATCCTTGCTCAACAATGAGTAAATAAAAGTTCAAATGATTTAGTAATCAAGCTTGCCAAAGCTAGTGTTTATGAAGTGAAGTACTCTTTATTTCAGTGACTTCAAGTGTCAATAGGAAGGATGCTCAAATAGATGCAATGCATGTACTCTTTTGTACGTTAGCAATTCTTACTGTGCTGCACTAAGGATGAAGATATCTTTGCTCAGGACCCGTAGCTCAGTGGTTATGGCATCAGCCACATACAGTGGGGCTGGTGGGTTCAAACCCAGCCTGGGCCTTCTAAACAATAATGACAACAATAAAAAAAATAGCTGGGCATTTTGTGGTGAGCACCTGTAGTCCCAGCTACTTGGGAGGCTGAGGCAAGAGAATCACTTAAGCCCAAGAGTTTAAGGTTGCTGTGAGCTGTGATGCCAGAGCACTCTACTGAGTAAACATAGTGAAACTCTGTCTCAAAAAAAAAATCTTAATTCTGACTGAAAATGCTGAAAAATAATTAGCAATAATCCTATGATATTTTATAATATAAATTGGTCAGATAAGTATGTATTAATACAATACAGACACGACATGCTTTGAAATTGCCTAAGTAATCAGAGCATATTTACATCAGTTATGTTCAACAAGGAACTATTTATAGTTGGCATTTAAAGTATTTAAAATATTTATTTCAGTGGTATATTTTAGGTTAGTTGATTAATCATGTTATTAATCAGATAGTTAATAAATAATAATTATGTTATTTAATCTTAAAAACATTATCTTTGGGGGGATCTCATTGTTGGTCTAATATCCCATAGGTTTGACTCTTAACCCAATGTCTTTGAAACCTTTATACATATTATATGTGATTCTTAGAAATAATATTTATAGAATATATCATACACACCCATGTATTTTACACAGAAAATACAAATACAAGAACCTATATTTGGGGCGGCACCTATGCCTCAAAGGAGTAGGGCACCAGCTCCATATGCTGGAGGTGGCAGGTTCAAACCCAGCCCCAACCAAAAACAGCAAAAAAAAAATAAAAGAACCTATATTTGTTTTTGTTTTTTGGCTCAAAAAATATATTATACCCATCATTCAATGTTAATACCTATAACAGAAGTGAACCATATTCATTTTAATGGTAGCATTGTATCCTATAGGATACATTAGAATTTATGTACCTAGGCTCGGCATCTGTAGCACAGTGGTTACTGCACCAGCCAGATAGAGGCTCACGGGTTCAAACCCAGCCCAGGCCAGCTAAACAACAATGACAACTACAACCAAAAAAAAATAGCCGGGGGCTATGGCAGGCACCTGTAGTTCCAGCTACTTGGGAGGCTGAGGTAAGAGAATCACTTAAGCCCAAGAGTTTGAGGTTGCTGTGACCTATGACGCCATAGCACCCTACCAAGGGTAACATAGTGAGACTCTGTCTCAAAATAAATAAATAAATAAAAAGAATTTATGTACTTAAATCATATTTTATTTCATTTTATTAGTCTCATTTAGAATGAATGCATCATTATTTAGTTATTCTAGTGAGGAATATAGATGTTGCCTTTAAATTTTTCAGTACTACAAATAATGTTAAAATACACATCTTTACTTAGTACATTTTGTGTACTTAGGGGAGTGTTTCTATGGGGTAGCTTCCTAGAACCTTTTGATTCTTAGATAGTCAGTTCAAGTATCAGTTCTGGGGAGCTGTTTCTGATCCCTCATTGGCAGAGTTCACTAGTCATTTGTCTCTACTCCTATAAGACTTTGTACTCACCTTTTGTCATACGTGTTTGTTGTCCTTATATGTTTGTTTTCTTGCATGACAGCCAACTCCTAACTTCTGGAAATAGGAAGGGGGCACAGCCCAGAGCCCACCTCACAGCAGTGCTAATGCATTCTTCTGGAATTTGAGTTCTTTATTGTCATCTAATTGCTCCTGCTTTGTTCTACAGATTAAAAAACAAAACAAAACAAAAATAATCCCTGCCTATGTGGTATTTCTTTCAAAGTATGAAATTCTTAGGCTCCATCTATTTGAGTAATCCGACTGGTACATGTACAGCTCAACTTGAGGATTATATACGAAGTAAGAATGAGGTCTTACTAATATATAGCTTTGTGTGTGTGTTTTAACAAAAATGGGAGGTACACAGAAACAGTGTTTAAGTTGAAGGTTTACCATTTATAATTCTTCCTTTCTAGGTGTTTCACCCTTCACCTGAAGATCACGAAAAGTATGGTGGGGATCCACAGAACCCCCATAAACTGCATATTGTTACTAGAATAAAAAGTACAAAAAGACGTCCATACTGGGAAAAAGATACAATAAAGATGCTTGGATTAGAAAAAGTAAGTAACTGTTTGAGTCATCTTTAGTGATGTGCACACTTTAGTGATTTGCTTCAAATTTTACACTTTTAAAATTTTACAGTATATATTTTTTGTGTGTTTAAATGTATTACTTAGTGTAACCTATTTGTAAGTTTTAGACAAAATGAGCCTTCAATTTAACATTTTACTGAAACATGGAACTTTTTAAAATTGATTTATAACATTTTCTTTTGTTCATAGGCACATACCCCGCAAGTTCACAAGAATATCCCTTCAGTGAATGCAAAACTGAAAGTGGTCAAACATTTGATAAGGTTTGTCGTTTATCTCAGCAGTTTAAAAAATGAGTTACCTAGTGTAATTCTAAATGCATTTCCTTTTTTTTGAGACAGAGTCTCACTGTGTTGCACTTGGTAGAAAGCGATGGTGTCACAGCTCAGAGCAACCTCCAACTCTTGGGCTTAAGTGATCCTCTTGCTCAGCCTCCCAAGTAGCTGGGACTACAGGGACCCAGCTAGTTGTTAGAGACGGGGTCTTGCTCTTTATTAGGCTGGTCTTGAAATCCTAAGCTCAAGCAATCCACCCAGCTTGCCTTCTCAGAGTGCCATTTTCTTTTTTTTAATATTCTGAAGAAGTTTTTCATCTACCTTATTAATTAGACATATTTATGGGCTACATAGTGATGTTTCAATACATAGAGTTTATATTGATCAGATTAGGATAATTAGCATATCCCTCATCTCAAACATTTCTTATTTCTTCATGTTGGGAACATTCGATATCCTCCTCCTAGCTATTTGAAACTATGTAATATTGTTAACTGTAGTCATCCTACCATGGTACATAACACTAGAATTTATTTCTCCTATGTGAATGCATTCTCTTATGTCACAGAATCAAGCCCCTGAAGCTGCCACAAGGACTTCCCACAGAGGCAGACATGGCTAACACTTGTCTCAAGAGCACTGGAGAATTAGTAATACAGTGGCACCTGAAACCTGTGGAGCAGAAAACTTAAGTCCTGATGCCAGAACAGCTTCAGACTAAACAATGCAAATTGTTTAAAATGATGAGAATGTTTTCATTAAAATAGATTTTAAATACCAGTCATTTTTACTGACTAATAAACCTGCTGTGATCCT